ATGCTAGGTGAGTGCTCTACCACTGAGCCACAACCCCAGCCCCCTCACACAAAATTTTTTTTAATATTTATTTTATTTCTTAGTTTTAGGTGGAAACAATATCTTTATTTTACATGTATGTGGTGCTGAGGAGGATCGAACCCAGTGCCTCATACATGCTAGTTGAGCAAGCTACCACTGAGCTACCACTGAGCCACAACCCCAGCCCCCCCCCCACAAATTTTTATGCATTGTATTTTCATCATCATTCAGTTCAAAATACTGATTTCCCTTTTGATTTCTACTTTGACTCAGAGTTATTTATAAATGTGTTATGTAGTTTACAAATATTTGGAGGTTTTTCAGGTGTCTTTTTTTTTTTTTTTGGTACTGGGGATTGAACCCAGGGGCACTCAACCTCTGAACCACATCCCCGGCTCTATTTTGTATTTTAGAGACAGTGAAGTTCAGGAAACCAGTGATCTGTGGCCACCTTAGACTAGTATGCATTTTCTAGAATTTTATATATGCGATCATCATCTTTCTCTCTGAATAATTATGCTGCATATAGGACATTTATCAAGATAGACTATATTCTGGGCCATAAAACAAGTCTGAATAGGGGCTCAGTGTAGAGCACTTGCCTAGCACATGTGAGGCACTGGGTTCGATTCTCAGCACCACATAAAAATACATAAATAAAGGCCTATACAAAAATATAACGCCTATTCATTATAACTAAAAATATTTTTTAAAGGCTGAATAAATTTAAAAGGACTCAATCATACAAAATATATTCTCTGACCACAATGAAATTTAATATTCGTAATCAATAACAAAAGACACCTGGAGGGCTGGGGCTATAGCTCAGTGGCAGAGCACTTGCCTAGCATGCATGAGGCATTGGGTTGGATCCAAAGCACCACATAAAAATAAAAACAAATAAAGGTATTATATCCATCTACAACTAAAAAAAAATAATAATATAAACAAATAAAATGAAGGCATTCTGTCCATCTAAAACTACAAAAAACAAGCAAACAAACAAACAAACAAAAAAAACACCTGGAAGCTGGGCATGGTGGAGCACGCCTATAATCCCAGCGGCTCAGGAAGCTGAGGCAGGAGGATCATGCGTTCAAAGCCAGCCTTAGCAAAAAGCAAGGTGCTAAGCAACTCAGTAAGACCCTGTCTCCAAATAAAATATAAAAAAGGGCTGAGGATGTGGCTCAGTGGTCAAGTGCCCCTGAGTTCAATCCCTGGTACTAAAACAAAACAAAACAAAACAAAACAAAACAAAAAAAACTATGCTTTAAACATACGCAGTTTATTGCTTGTCAACTGTACCTCACAAAACAGTTTTCTAAAAATTGATGTTACCAGGTGTGGTGGCACACACCTGTAATTCTAATGGCTTGGGAGGCTGAGGCAGGAGGATCACAAGTTCAAAGCCAGCCTCAGCAATTTAGGGAGACCCTAAGCATGTAGTAAGACTCTAAAATAAATAAAAAGGACTGGAGATGTGGTTAATGACCTCTGGTACCAAAGTGTCTCTCAATTCCTGGTACAATAAAAATTAAAAATTGATGCTTAGGAGCCCATTGTGATGGTACATCCCTGTAATCCCAGGGACTTTGGAGGCTAGGGTAGGAGGATCATAAGTTCAAAGCCAGCTTCAGCAATTTAGGGAGGCCCTAAGCAACTTAAGACCCTGTCTCAAAATAAAATGGACTGAGCTGGGGTTGTGGCTCAGTGGTAGAGCACTTGCCTAGCATGTGTGAGGCACTGGGTTTGGTTCTCAGCACTGTATATAAACAAAATAAAGGTTCATTTGATACCACTGGTTATTGGTGAGGGTGAGGAGTCCTGCTTCCCCACATGTTGAAGTTTGAACATTAAAGAAGCACACCTAGGAAAGCATATGAAGCAGGGTTTATTTAAAAAGGGGTAACATAGACTTCTCCTGCAAGGGAGAAGGGGCCATAGCTGGTATCCCAAGAACCGAGGTGTTCTGCCCTTTTTATATATCCTAGGATTCCTTTGTTCTCCTGCCTTTTTCCCTTTTATCTTTCTCCTTCTTGTGGAGGTGGTGACTAGGCCCAGGAGTGCTGGGTGGGATGGCCAAAAGGTGGGAACCAGGTGGGCTGAAGGGGGAAGGGCAGGTGGAGTAGACAAGGACACTTTAACAACCCTAGAGTTCCCTGGAGGGAGGGGCAATTCCTGGGACAGGTTACCCTGGCAACAGGTTGGAGCAGGGGCAGGTTCTACATAAGATCCCTCAGGGGACAGTGTCCAACTTCTCAGAGTAACTTAAAATTGTCCTCCTAGTTCTTTTGACTCAATTTATCTATCTACACTGACTACCTATCTTTAAATCTGGCTTCACATTGACAACTAAAAAGTATTTTAAGTAAGTAAATAAGTAAATAAAATTTAAAAATAAAAAGGACTGGGAGGGCTGGGGATATAGCTCGGTTGTAGAGTGTCTGCCTTTCATGCACAAGGCCCTGGGTTCAATCCCCAGCACCACAGATAAACAAATAAATAGGACTGGGGATGTGGCTCAGTGGTAAAGTGCCCCTGGGTTCAATCTCCAGTACTGAAAACGAGGGGGAAAAAAAAATTCAGGGGACTGGGGATATAGCTCAGTTGGTAGAGTGCTTGCTTCACATGCACAAGGCCATGGGTTCAATCCCCAGCACCACATACACACACACACAAAAAAAAAAAAAAAAAGAAAAAAATTCAGGTTGAGAGCGGGAAATGAAATCCCTGGAAAGAATTTGCCTAGCATGCAAAAGTCCTTGAGTTCCCCCTTGGGCCCTTAAAAAAAAAAAAAAAAAAAGTTGATGTTTATCAAAAGCTTTGGAGAAATGTTTAGAATCAAGTTGTAATTACCACATATAGGAAGAGCAGTGATTCATGGCTTATACTTCAGAAAGAAGTGTGCCTCCCATGTGCAAGGCCCTGATTTCAAAAGGAACCATGGGGGTGTGGGGGAAACAAGGTCTGGAGTCAACTTGTGACTATGCAGCTTTGAACAAACTGCTCAGCCTGTCTGTGCTGATGGCAGGCATGTGGAGAGAGGTCATAAGCTCATCCCAGGGAAGCCCTCAGTACCTGGCATGCAGAGGGTACTCAGAGGTTAGAGGCACTGAGGTTCTCCTAACAGAATGGGAGAAGGTGACCTATACCTGAAGTAAACTGCTGGCAACCACTAAACTGTTCCAGAATACTGCCATTTACCCTTGACCCTTCCAAACCTTCTGAGTCATCCTTGGCTCACCCCTCACCCTCAGCCCCCATAGTCTGATGGCTGCCAAGACAAGTAGAATTTTCCTTGGAAATGCTCTTTCTCTTCATGCTCAGGGGTCCACCTGCCATCTTAGGCCCTGAGGCCCTGTACTGTGGCAATCTTCTGCTGATTCTTGCTGAACTGAGTCTGTTCCACATTCCTTTCTCAACTGCCCATCTCCTGTTGTAGAAAGTCCCAGACTTCTGGTGAAGCCAGAATTAGAAAGGCAGTCAGTATAGACAGGTAAATTGAGTCAGGTCAGATCAAGGAGGCCAATTGTGAGTGAGTCCCAGAAGTTGGAGACAGTCCCCAGAGGGACTGAAATGTTAATTCCCTCAGAGCCCTTCCTCCACCCTCATCAAGAACCTGCCCCTGCTCCCACCTGTTGCCAAGGTAACCTGTCCCAGGCATTGCCCCTCTCTACAGGGAGCTCTAAGGTTGTTTACGTGTCCTGGGCTGCACAGCACATCCTGCCCTTCCCCCTTCAGCCCACGGGTTTCCCCCCTTTGGCCCTCCCACCCAACATTCCTGGGCCTAGTCGCTGGAGGGAGAAAGAGAAGGGGAAGAGGGCAGGAGAACCAAGGAAGCCTGGGACATATAAAAAGGGCAGAAAACCTCGCTTCTTCGGATACCAGCTATGGCCCCTTCTCCTTTGCGGGAGTCTATGTTACTCCTTTTTAAACAAACTCTGCGTTATAAGCTGGCCTCCCTGTGCTTCTCTTATGTTCAAACTTCAACAGGTGGGAAACCAGAATTCCTTACCCATAACCGGCAATATCACTGGGACACACAACAGAGGTCCCTCTTCAGGTGTGCAGACCACAGGGGGCTGCCACCCAGCTCATTCCACCTCTCCCTTCTCTCTGCTGGGGTATCTACCCACATGCTCCTTGCCTGGGAACTCCCATTGAATGTCCTTGTTCAGTTTCATGGTTTGCCCAGGCCAGGGGCTTGTGCCCGCTCTGCTGTCTGACTGAAGGCAGGCCCCAACACAGATGGGCTTCCACCAGAAGCCAAGGGGTTGAGAGGGCCACAGGAGAAGGGTCCTGCCACCGCTCACAGGTCTCTTGCCCTCCCAGTTCCTGGGCTCTTTGACTCTACCACATCGCCCGGTTCCCTTCCGTTCCTAAGCATCCCTTGTAAGTGTGTTCCTGCCCTCACTCCCAGCATCCTGTTTACTGAAGCCCATCCACCGGGATGCTCCACAGATTTGTTTACCCAACACTGGGGTCATTAAACTGGTCACCTGCCTTCATCAGCTTGAGCCCCATGTTCCCAATAACCACAGCTCCAGCCCACCCTGTGCCCATCTCCACGCCGGACCTGGCTGCTTCAGACCTAGGAAGCCATGCTGGCCCTGCCCTCCCTCCCGCGGAGAGGCCATTTATGAGGAATACAGGGGCGGCTGGAGCTCAGTGGTAGCAGCCTGCTTCGCATGTCTGATGCCGGGTTTCGTCCCCAGTCCCCGGCACAAAAATAGTGTGTAAAAGAAATGGGCATGACAGAGGAAGGACGGCGCAAGCCCGGCGGGGCCACACCCTGGGCTCTGACGGCCCGCGCCCACCGCTCAGAGCAGCTCCTCGGCGCTCCCACCCCGGGGCGCGCGGAAAGGAGGTGCCCTCCTCCCGCCGGTCTGTGGACCCTCCCCTCCCTGCGCTCGCCCACGGCCGTCGCCGCCAGCGGAAGGAGCGCGCCCCGCCCGCCCGCCGCGGGAGGAACGCTTCCGCGCAGAGGCGCCGGGCGCCGCCTGCAGGTCCGTTAACTGGGGGTTTGTAGCCTCCGACTGCGAACTTCCTCCCGTTCCAACGGCAGGACTGGGCCGTCGGGGCGGCTGCCGTCTGAGAATCCACCTCAAATCTTCCAGCATTCCCCTGGGTAGCTGTCTGCACTTGTAAGAGAAGAAAACGACTTTCTGTTATTTGATTTGGGGTCCTGGGGATTGAACCGGGATGCTCTACCACAGACACGTTCCAGCTCTTTTTACTTTTGGAGACCTGGTCTCGACAAGTTGCTGAGGCTGGCCTTGAATTTGGGATCCTCTGCCTTGGCCTCCTGAGTTCTGAGATTACAGGTCTGACCCCAGCTTCTATTTATGTATTTATTTTGGTACCAGGGATTGACCCTAGGGGCACTTAACCACTTGGCCGCATCCCCAGACCTTCTAAAATATTTAAGAGATAGGGTCTCACAGAGTTTCTTAGGGCCTCACGAAGTTGCTGAGCCTGGCTTTGAACTCGTGATCCTCCTGCCTCAGCCTCCCAAGGCAAGCGGAGTGGCTGGGAGTACAGGTGTGTGCCCAGCTAAGCTTGTTTGCTTTTAGTGCTGGGAATTAACCCAGGACCTTAAGCTTGGAGGCAAGTATACTACTTCTGAGCTACACCCCAAACCTCCTATTTTTAATTTTAATTATTTATTTGAGATGGGGGTCTCACCATGTTGCCCAGGCTGGTCTCCAGCAGTCCTTCTGCCTAGAAGCAGTTTTTTTGAAAGAAGAAAGCCTGGAGGGTAAAAAAAAAAAAAAGTATAATTTACATCAAGCAGTCTTAAGCTGGAGAGAGCTAGCTAGGCACCTTCCTCAACTCCCACCTCTACTGGCCTCCCTAGATCTCTTAGGACCTCAGAATGGTGGTGGCCACTCATCAGCTGGCTCTGCTTGTGTGGGACTCCCTTTGTTGTCTTGGCCAACCACAGGGCAGAGGCCTCTGTGCTGAGACCCACCCCAGGACAGTCTCCATGTCAGCCAGTGGAAGAACAGGTCCAGCTGCCCTGATAAGTGTCTGGGGGAGGGGGGTGTGCGCAGGCAGGGGCAGCGGGTGTTTATCCTCAGATAACCCAGGGTAGTGGTGGGAGTGGTCAGCAAGTGAAACTGCAGAGTGTGAGCAGGTCTGATGTCCCTGGCTAGCCCAGCTGATAGTTTTTTTCTGTTTACATGAGGCAAGGGTCACCTTGGCAGTCAGGAATCTGCCTTGTGGCCAATGGACCAGATGGTGGGCACCTTGGTCTGGCTGCCTTGTCATGAATCTGACAATCCTCCAGGTTGGCCCTGGTGGGTCTTCCATGACTAGTTCTGTGAGCCTCTGCCCTCACCTCCTCACCCTCCAATAAAGGGTTCCCCTGCCCAGTCTTCTGCTGGCTCATACCTCTTGCTTGGAAACCATCCCTCCTTGAAGATCCAGGACAGCTGTCTCTTCTGCTGCCTTCCTGCCACCTTGGGGGAGGTGGTAGGGGTTTGCTTTTTTGTCCCTGCTTTTTCCTCTACTGACTTTGGGGCTTCTCTGGAAGCATTGGTTTCCTCATCTGTAAAATGCGGGTAGGGATAGGGCGGTTGGCTAAGGTTTCATCTCTGTCTTAATGGGACTCCAAATTCTTTCACCTGAGGACAGATTGGCTGGGTAGAAGTGCCATAAGTTGACCTGAGCAAGAATAAGTTACTGGGAACTTCTACACATCGCAAGCCCCTTGTTCCTTCTCTGAAGTCAGAGTAGATATGCATGATGTGAGCATTTCACTGAACTGACTGTGTCCCAGTTAATATGATGTGGCAAATCGAAATACTACATCCACCCTTCAGGAGGCTAGGGACACGTAGCAAGAGCCAATCTAACACTTCCCAAGCTACTTTGCAGTGTAGTATTCTGAGCAGCACTAAATAGCAAGCAGCATGCTGCCTCTGAATCCAAATCCAATAGTTGTCAACAACTATTTCATTTAGAAATGAAATCAACCCAATCTCCATTTCAGTCAACATTCAACAGTACTGTTTAGGGCTGGGGGTAGCTCAGTAGTGGATATTCTATGCATACAAAAGAATATTGTGTTAGCTTCCCATTACTGGGACAAATTAGCAACTTGTAAAGAGAACAAATGGTTTATTTGGCTCACAGTTTCAGGGGTTTCTGTGTATGGTCGGTTGGGCCTGTGGCAAGGCAGCACTCCATGCAGCATTTCATGGTGAGGCAAACCTTTCACCTCATGGCTAGAAGTCAAAAGAGAAAAAGGGAAAGCTAGGGCCTTACTATACTCTTCCAGGGCATGTCCCCAATGACCAGCAGCCCTCCCACTAGGCCCCGCCTCTCAAAATCTCTACCCCCTCCCAATAGCACTTAGCTAGGGACTAGCCTTTAAACATACAGGCCTCTGTGGACACTGAGGATCTCAATTGTAGTAAAGATGTCTGTATATAAGTCATAAAGAATAATAATGTGTTGAGCTAGGGATGTGGCTCAAGCCATAGCGCGCTCACCTGGCATGCGTGCAGCCCGGGTTCGATCCTCAGCACCACATACAAACAAAAGATGTTGTGTCCGCCGAAAACTAAAAAATAAATATTAAAAAATTCTCTCTCGGGCTGGGATGTGGCTCAAGCGGTAGCGTGCTCGCCTGGCATGCGTGCGGCCGCGGTTCGGTCCTCAGCACCACATACAAACAAAGATGTTGTGTCTGCCAAAAACTAATGAATAAATAAATAAATAAATATTTAAAAAAAAAAAAATTCTCTCTCTCTCACTAAAAAAAAAAAAAATTGTAAGAATAATAATGTGCTGGGTGTGGTGGTACACACCTGTAAACCAGCAGCTCTGGAGGCTGAGGGAGGAGGATCAAAAGTTCAAGGCCAGCCTCAGTAGCTCATCAAGACCCTATGTCAAAATACAAAATAAAAGGTCTAGAGTTATAGCGTAGTGGTGTTAGACCAGGATGGAAGAAAAGACCACTGACTCCAATTAAAATCAAATTAAAGTAAGCTTATTATTTCAACTGGCAGGGCTGCCTCTCCCACCCAAAACCACGGGAACAAGACAGCACCCCAGCTTTCCTGCAGCCCAGCTTTGTAGCCCAGAAAGTTACACAAAGGGGGGTTACAGATAACAAAACTCTGAGGAGCATAACACAAATGGTAGTTTACATTTTTGCAGGCCCCAACATCAGAATTTATGAAGGTCATTAGAGCCTCAGAGAGGGTCGTTATCTGGCCAGGGAAGGCCAAGATTTGTGAGGCGTCACTAAAGTTTCAGAGAGAGCTGCTATCTGGTCAGAGAGCCAGGCATGGGTGAGTTCAAGGCATGGGCAGGCATTCCAAGCAGGTTCAGAATTTGCAGTAATTTATAGTAAAGCCGAAATTATCTTTTCATGGCTTTATGGTGAGATGGCTTCCAATTTTAAGAAAAGATCAGGTTGGGTCTATCAGTGGTAGAGCGCCCTTGGTCAACCCCCAGTATGGGTGGGGGAATGATAATTCTAGCATCTGCCTACTGCCTGGACTGCTCCCACATTTCCCCACTCATCTGCTACCACCACTCTCCTCCTAAGAGCTGGTCACTCCAATCCCTGCCCACCTTTTTCTCCTTTTCTTAGATCCCCTCCATGAGTGGGTGGTCAAGGTGTAGCCACAAGCCACCTTTCTGGAGGCTCAGGGAACGTACTGTCTTTCCACTGTGGCCCCCTTGACACCTTTCATAGGTGGGCTGTTGTCCCATGTTGTGGTGATTTGCCAAATGCACTCCAGGCAGGGATCCAGGACCCTCTTGGGCACTGTGTGGGCACTAGTGGGATGTCAGTGCAATAAACAAGCAGAGAATACACAAAAAGATAATGACACTTTCTCAATGTACTGTGACCTTCACCAAGGGTTGGTAGGAGGGATGGTCAGCTTGAACTAGAAATGTTTAGATTAGCCAGGCACTGTGGTGCACATCTATAACCCCAGAAGCTCGGGAGGCTGAGGCAGGAGGATTGAGAGTTCAGAGCCAGCCTCAGCAATTTAGTGAGGCCCTGAGCAACTCAGTGAGACCCCTGTCTCTTAAAAAAAAAAAAAAAAAGATTTGGGGATGTGGCTCAATGGTAAGTGCCCCTGGATTCAATCCCCAATACCAAACAAAAACAAAAAACAAAGAAATGTTTAGACTAGCAGTTTTAAGTCTTGTCCATTCACCATTAGTCAGCCTAAACAACATGAACACTTGCAGATCCACATAGAGCTCTGTCCCTTTGTTTGGCAACACAGTCACTGTCTGGGAGAGCAGTTTCCAGAGAAGAGTGCAGTGGTGGGTTCAGACACAGACGCTCGGGCCTCCTGTGGCCCAGTGAACAAGTGCTCGCTCGGCTGGGAACAGGGCCTTCTGGACTTCCAAGCCTAACACACAGGTGGGGAATAATCTGTAGGTGAAACCTGAGGAGAGCTAGTGGGTGATGGATTGCAGAAGCCCTGGCTATCAAATGCATCCCTATGGCTGTGGAATGGGGTAAAATATGGTCTGCTCTCCTGCTGCTTGGAAAGCCGACTTGGGAAACTGAACAAGGCTCTGAAAGGCAGACTGAGAAAAGGGGGCTGGATATATATTTAAAAATTTTAATTATTTATTTAATTTTATTATTTATTTAGCATTAGGGATTGAACCCAGAGATGCTATACCACTGAGTCACATCCACAGTCTTTTTTATTTTGTCAAAGGGTCTTGCTAAATTGCTGAGACTGGCCTTGAACTTGTGATCCTCCTGTCTCAGCTTCTCTAGTCACTAGGATTACAGGAGCCATCACGCCTGGCATGGAGCTGGATTTCTTTAAGGATGTTCTATGGCCTAACCCTCCAACCCAGTGGTATTTTTGCTGTCATCTGAGACTCTTGGATGGACCCACAACAAAAACTGGAACGGAGTCCTTATTTTTCCAGCCTCCATACAGACCTATTTTGATGATGCAGCCAACTGCAGCACAGCTGTATGGGGGGACTAAAGTTCTGGCTGGGCTCCAAAGACAGTGGCTCAGGGAAACTTGAAACAAGGGGGAAAGCCCCTTAGGGAGGTGTCTCACTGGGGCCGACAGGAGGCCTCTTTGCAGGTATGAGCTGGTACTGGTGTTTGTTCTTCTCCAAGCACCAGGTGGGCTGGTCAACTGGATTTGGGACCAAGTTGTATGAAAAACAACTCACTGGATCATATGAGGGCACAGCTAGTGACAACTGCTCCTCTTGCCTGCCCGCCCAGGCACCTGGGTACATTCCTGCACTGAAGGGCTGTGTGCATGTGGAGACACCAGTAAGCCAAACATATCAATAATGTCAGTGCCCTATAAGTCACCAACTTCTGCTGCTGGGTGAAGTGGTGAGCACCTGCAGTCGCAGCTACTCAGGAGGCTGAGGGAGGAGGATTGTTCAAGCTTGTGAATTTGAGACCAGTGTGAGCTGCACAGTGAGACTGTGTCTCAAAAACAAACTTCTAGTTATTTATGATTTTATCTTTTGTGGTGCTGGGAGTTAAACCCAGGGCCTAGTACATTGCTAGGGAAGCACTCTATCACTGAGCCACTTCCCCAGCCCTTTACTTGTTATTTTGAGGTAGGGTCTTACAAATTGTGAGGCTGGATGGAATTTGCGACTCTTCTGCCTCAGCCTCTGAGTGGCTGGGATCATCGTGTCTGGCTCATACTTACTTCTATAGTCTGTATCACCCTGTATCAAAGGGCCCAGAACTGAAAAGCCTCGGCGCACACCCAGGCACTGCCCTGGCCTTGTCTCTCCTGTCAGTTACATGAGGACCACAGCATTTACCACCTGTGGGTCTTTGGGAGGTTAATTTAGGTGAAATATGGGAAATGCCTGGTACACAGTGCTCAAGCTGGTCTGAATTCTCTGTTGCACTAGGTGTGGTCTGTGATTCCTCCTAGTTTCATCACAGCAGGGTTACAACCACCCTTTTAGGAGGGGCTGATGCTACTATATCTGGCTATAGTTTATTTATTTACTTATTATTTTTGGTTGTCTCAATTTCTGGAAGTTGGTGGAGGTGTAAGACGAAAAGATATATATATATTTTATTTTTTTTTTTTTTGGCAGTACTGGGAAATTCAACCCAGGGTCTGGCTGTGGGAGCCTATAATCCCTTTTTTATTCAGGCTAATGGTGGTGGGTTCCCAGTACTTGAATCAAAGGATTTCTGAATGGCACATCCCTGGAGATTTGTAGTTGGGGGCATGAATCTCAAAAGAAGACATAAATACAGCTCAGTGTCTTAGGAACTGAAGAGATAGAACCTTGTTTCTAGTGAGACAGGACTTCTAGTTAACGAGCATTAAATGCTCTTGCCATTCAGGAAAGACACTATTGAATCAGTCATTTCCAAAAGCCTCTCCCTTGACACTTCCCACCAGGAGATGGAAAGGGGAACAATGGCCTTCCTAGCCTTGAAAGCCAGCAGAGGGAGCCACCTGACTCAGTCTGGAAAATAAGACACAGCAGGACTGTTACTTGAGCGAATGGCAATGGCGGGGAGTGGTTTAATAACTTTTTTTTTTTTTTTCAAGACAGGTTGTCAGGAAATTGACCAGGCTTACTTCAAATTGTCCATCTGCCTGCCTCAGCCTCCCAAGTAGCTGGGATTACAGGTGGGTGCTACTATATCTGGCTATAGTTTACTATTTTTCTTTCTAGGTTGCCTCAATAGTTGGTGGACGTATAAGATGAATGGGAAAAAAATAATCTTTTCTTTTCTTTTTTATTTTAGTACTGGGACATTCAACCCAGGGTCTTGTGCATACTACAAGTGCTATACCACTAAGCCAGCTCTACTAATAGATTTTTTTTTTTTTGGTACCAGGGATTGAACTCAGGGGCACTTAATCACTGAGTCACATTCCTAGTACTTATGTTTTATTTTATTTTTGGGTACTAAGGATTGAATTCAGGGTCACTGAGCCACATCCTCAGCCCTGTTTTTTTTTTGTATTTTATTGTAGAGATAGGGCCTCACTGAATTGCTTAGCGCCTGTTGCTGAGTCTGGCTTTGGACTTGCAAGCCTCCTGTCTCAGTCTCCTGAGTTGCTAGGATTACGGGCGTGCGCCACCACGTCTGGTCAATAATGGATTTTTATTATAAAAATGTCTAATTTTTTTCTTTATAAAAATAAGATTTCAAACATTCCAAAATAACTTATGAGGTAAAAATAATTTGAAAGAAGAGAGTAGGCATCGCTAATGCCTGATGTTCCCTCTCAAAGGCAAGACGTTTTGTTCAACCTGTATTCAGCAACACCAACCCAGTTTACAAGGTGCCGGGGGCTTTGCTAGGTCTGGGGATTCAAAGATCCACAAGGCCCAGCTCTTGCTCTCTCAGTTTGGGAGCTCACTGTTGGGAAGACAGACCTAGGAATAGGTAACTCTGACTTAAGTGCAATGACAAAAATAGGCTCAAGGTGTTATGAGGGCACAGTGAGGCCCAGAGAAGGCTTCCTGATGGCACATGACACCTGAGACAGTTGTGCAGTATACCGGGGGGCTCCGCAGAAGGGCAT